TCTATCTATCTATCTATCTATCTATCTATCTATCTATCTATCATCTATCATCTATTAAAAATTGAAGGCCCCACAACCTAAAGTTACCATGTTTCAGTTTCTCATGCAGCACCTTCTTTCTTTGATAAATCCTTATTCTTTCTCATCAGTTGAAGAATGGCCATTCCCTGTTGTAGTCCTTTATGAGTTGGGTGACTGGAATAAAACCACAAGAGATTCTCAAAAATTGATCTATCTGGTACCAAAATTATATCACCAGTTTTATATTAAGGCCGTGATCAATTATTTAGGCTGGGGAGGCTTGCAAATAGCTGCGTCTATTTGGGGTGTCACCCATGATATCGTACTGTACAGCTTATAATGAAGTCAGTGGTAGCATGCAGCAAACTGATCTGTCAGCACCTCTGTGGCACTGGAATAATCTCTTTTCTTTTTCTTCTGTTCAATCATGTCCAATTCTCAGAGACCGCCTGGACAAGTCCCTGCAGTTTTCTTGGCAAGGTTTTTTAGAAGTAGTTTGCCATCGCCTTCTTCCTAGACTGAGACAGAGTGACTAGCCAAAGTCACTAGGCTTTGTACCCAAAGTGGGACTGGAACTTGCCATATCCTGGTTTCTAGCCTGATGACTTAACCATTACACCAGAGGTGGACAACTATGGCTCTTTTACAACCTATGAACTTCAACTCCCAGAATTCCAGCTGTCAGGAATTCTGGGAGTTGAAGTCCACAGTCCATAAAAGGGCCATAGTTGCCCTACATCAAACTGGCACTAAGGATCATCTTGCCCAATAATTATATGGGAGCCAGACAGAGGGCAGTAGCACCTATGCCAGGTGAGCGGACAAGATGAGGAATGACTGAGCAGAGCGGGCAGGGCGGGAGGGGCGAGCCAGAATTGTCACTACCAGTTTGCCTGAACCGGCTAGAACTGGCTGAATCCCATCACTGATTATATTCCAGTTTTATAGTCATTCCTTTTATTCAGATGATCAAGTAATCTTTCATTTTTAAGTAGGAAACCTAGAAATCTTTTTCTAATACACTTATAAAAAAACTAAAATTATTTGTGGGAAATAGCAGCATCCACAGGAGTGCATCTGTGCCTGTGTTTGTGGGTGAAAATCAGCAATCTGGCAGATGGAATATCAGAAGTCCATCCCCAAACCTTATCCTTTTGTCCATGTGTACTGAAGGAAACTGAAGGAAAACTATATACAGAAAACTAGACTGCAACCAATAAAGATATGCAATATAAATAAGCCCAAAGCAATTTGTTATATTGAGTAGAGAATAATGAAATAAGCTTAAAAACTAATTTATGGAGAAATAGATTCTAAATATTTTGGCTGGGGGTATGCAGCTGACTTTTAAAAAAACCAACTTTCAAGACTTTAGCTTTCATTTCATGTATTTCTTACCACGTACAGTTCTCGAAACCATTTTCTGTTTCCATTTAGTAAAACGATTGGCTGTAACTGGTACAGGGTTAACATCTAATAAATTATTTTGCTAAGTTAACAAAATAATGAGTCGGTAATAATCTTATGAAAACATTGGGGGTTATGTTTCAATCAGCAGGCTTAGGCTTGTGCTGTGAATTCCTTCATTAAAATCAGTGAGGCTTGGGGGTTCTTAATTTGGCTTAGATCGTGCCCTTTATTTATTTACTGTATATAAATCAATTAGTTTAGCTGCTCATCTGAAACCAGTGATTCTGGGCAGTGAACAGTCATAAAAATAATTAAAACAGTAAGATAAATAAAATAATAAAATAAAATAAAATAGCAGCCAAGTTGTATTTATATTAATTCTATAATATACTTGTATGAATATGATCTATATATTTTGTATGAACTCTAGTAATCCTGAATAAATAATAATTTATTGAGAGAAATAAAATAAATGCAATCAATAAAATGAATTCTAGTATTTGGTGGTTACATGAGTTTGTAAGAAAGTTTGGTCATAATTTCATTCAATTACACATTTTCAATCCATTTCTTCTTTAGAATAAATTTGACAGATACATGTTCTATTAAGCAATAATATCTGACAGTTAATAATTAGGAAGAAAATTATGAATCCCAGATTGTTCATCGCTTATATTTTATTTTATTTTATTATAGACCAGATTTGAAAACTTTGCCATAAAGAACAAATGACAATGTACAAATATAATGATAGCAAAAATAGTTATTCGATTAAAAATGTTATGGAGCAGTAGACTAAAGAGAAAATAATTTTACTAGATAACCCTTTCTTTTCCCTATCTCTTCTTTTTAATTTTTTTTTTCATTCTATTACGTTGCTTACCCAGGAAACAAAGAGGCTGTTGACTGTATGAATGATGACAAGTTACGTAGTTTTTATGACTTTTTTCTTGTGATATGTTACAGCTCTAGTATTCCTCAAGTAAATTTGATATTGGCTTCTTGCTCAGAGGTTTCAGAATGTGGTTCAGTTGTGAATTGTGGCATTTACTACGAGTATCAGATGCAGCTTATTCTGTATATTGCATTCATCTTAATTAAACAACCATCTTTTCCCTATATCTTATAAACATTTCTGAGAGGCTATATGAAAAACGTTGCAGATGCCCAAAATGAAGTTTAAAATTAAAATGTTAATATATCACCTAAATTACTAACATTTTCATGGAACTGTATTTTCTTCACTGAGCCACAATATTCCCTGTATGACAAATCATAAGCTATCCTTTAACTTGGGGAGATCTACAGTGCAGGTCAAATTCTCAAGATGGCCACAACTATGCAGTAAAAAATGACAGCTGCCATCTTGACTTTTTTTTAACTCACCCTGCAGATGACCTTCCTGACCCCAGATTTGAACAATGATGAAAATGGATACTGGAATGGCGTTGTTTGGGGGGTGGGGCTGAGTTCCTAAAACATTTGATATGATAATTATTCATTCATAATAAAATATAATCAAAGGAAACTTACACAAAATCATTTTTCCCTCTGGCATCTCACTTCCAAAGGAAATAAATATATGCCAATTAATAATTTCAATCCCCTGAAAGCAGCATTGATTATTTTGGTCAAGGAGCCAAGAAGGACCTCAAAACTCAATCAAGCAGATAACAGATATCCTGCTTGATTACCCCTCACTGGGAATAGCTGGATCTTCACTTGATGACCTCCCTGCTTTGGGAAATTGTAAACAAATGCAACAATTACACAGACACAGAAGGAAATGTCTCTTTTTTAAAAATTTGCCAGTAAAATACCTTAGAAGCAATCCACCCATTTTGCCTAAGTGGTGCAGTGAATTTATAGACATGACACGTGCTCTTCTCTTCTCTTCTCTTCTCTTCTCTTCTCTTCTCTTCTCTTCTCTTCTCTTCCCTTCCCTTCCCTTCCCTTCCCTTCCCTTCCCTTCCTTTCCCTCCCCTTTCCTTTTCTCTCCCCTCCTTTCCTCTCCTCTCTTTCTCCTTCCCCTTCTCCTTCCCCTTCATTTCTTTTTCCCCTTCCTTTTCTTTTTCTCCTGAACAAAAATGTTCTTTCCTTGCTTTCACTTTTCCTCTGTATTGAAGTAAGAATGAAATATCTCCTGATCTAAAGTTTTACGTGCAAAGAAAGGCTGCAGATAAGTTCTAATTAGGAAGTAAACAGCAAGCAGCTTTGTTTCATAATCTCACACCTCACTCTTCAAAAATGAACCCTATGGTATTTATTGGCACTTACTCCCACATAAGTACATCAAGAATTCCATCTCTATGGGGTGACTATGTGGAATAAGGCATAGCCCCACTTCTTTCAACATAGAGAAGAGAAGCTTGTGATTAAAAAATGCCTTACAGTAGTTCAGCATTTGGCACGTCGCCTCCAACATCTATCTGCAGGGATGAGCCCAATTTCCAGTCTTGCCATGGGAAATAATATTTCAGAATGTGTGTATGTGTGTTGCTCTGGGAGTCTGGGGGGTGCTTTCTTTAATTAAAAAAAAGGAGTTCACTTTCACATCATTTCCTAAATGATTTTACAAAGCAATATAAAATATTTCTGTAACAAACACAATTAAAAACATCCCACTGAAAATCAGAGCATCAAAAAAGAGTAGCATTCAGTCTATTATGCAGCTACAAAACATAACGACCCCAAGGCCTCAAAAGCATAAATACAGGATAAAGTCAGCAATACTAATCTTATATCTGCAAGTAAAGCTCTTTGTCCAGCATTACCTGAATTTCCCTGGGAAAAGATTTCAGAACTGGGCAAGGGACAACTACCAAGGAAGCTGCACTGCTTCCCCTGGAATGCCAAAATAACTTTAAGAGATCCTCTGCTGAGTACCTATACCAGGGGTCCCCAAACTTGGCAACTTTAAGACTTGTGGACTTCAACTCCCAGGAGTTGAAGTCCACAAGTCTTAAAGTTGCCAAGTTTGGAGACCTCTAACCTATACAATGAACGCTTATAGGGAGATGTATTTAGGGCAATGTTTTACAGCAAGTTATCATGGTCATGTTTAAAATCTGTACTACTCCTCTTCTTCAGGAAGCGGGACAGGCCCTTCTTTTTTTCTAAACAAATGTTTAAATTACAGAACTCTGGGTTTTCA